TCTAGCAGATTGTAACACGATAGCAGTGAGACACCATTGATCTAAACTACCGTGTCCTTCTATCTAGCAGATTGTAACACGATAACAGTGAGCCACCATTGATCCTAACTATGGTGTCCTTCTATCTAGCAGATCGTAACACGATAACAGTGAGACACCATTGATCTTATCTACGGTGTCCTTCTATCTAGCAGATTGTAACACGATAGCAGTGAGACACCATTGATCTAGACTATCGTGTCCTTCTATCTAGCAGATTGTAACACGATAGCAGTGAGACACCATTGATCTAGACTGCCGTGTCCTTCTAGCTAGCAGATTGTAACACGATAGCAGTGAGACACCATTGATCTAGACTACCGTGTCCTTCTATCTAGCAGATTGTAACACGATAACAGTGAGACACCATTGATCTAGACTACCGTGTCCTTCTATCTAGCAGATTGTAACACGATAACAGTGAGACACCATTGATCTAGACTACCGTGCCCTACTAGCTAGTAGATTGTAACACGATAACAGTGGGCCACCATTGATCTTAACTACCGTGTCCTACTAGCTAGTAGATTGTAATACGTTAACAGTGAGCCACCATTGATCTTAACTATCATGTCCAACTAGCTAGCAGATTGTAACACGATAACAGTGGGCCACCATTGATCTAGACTACCGTGCCCACTATGAAGCAGATTGTAACACGATAGCAGTGAGCCACCATTGATCCTAACTATGGTGTCCTACTATCTAGTAGATTGTAATTCGATAGCTTTGAGCCACCATTGATCTTAACTACGGTGTCCTACTATCTAGCAGAGCTAGAGGGCGTTGTTTGACTATATCTGTTTAAACCAAGATGACATTGCATTGGATCCGAAAGTCTACCGGACCAACCGTTATAAAATGAACCCTAGCTACATATCAACAAATCCGATTTTTAATCTCTCGACTGACTCAAGTGACGGATCAGATTTTCCCAGATGCCACCAGAAACAAGCAGTCGTTTAAAATTTAACTGGTGTCGAGTTTACCAGACCTCCATGGTTTCTATGGAAGTGTGATAACCAATAAAAATTCATACAAGCAAGGATATAATCAAAATCTCGTCCGAAAAATGGCAAAATCAAGAGTAAAATATTATAGTAGTGGACTCCTCCAAAGAGAGGTACCATCAGGTGTTTCGAAAAAAGTAAGCATGGTCGGCTTCGCGCGCGAAACCCGTCACGACTATATAGGTCAACATCATGAGATACAATCAGATCAATATGTCTGAACAAACATAATATCTAGGTAATCATGACACTGAATCTATTTTAAACGTTTAGTTGCTTCTGTTTCTGTGTAATCTTAAAATCTAATACCAAGATTATTTCCTACCCTACATCGTAAATTTTTCTTGAGTTCATCTGAATGTCCAGGATTTCATTTGTCCGATTATATAACAGTAGTTTTTGTGTGTCTTGCCTAAATAGTAGGCATGAATTGGTTGGCTTTGATTTATGTTTGACTGACTACATTTTAGATAGCAGGATGTCACTTTGAATTCGATCTTCACATATTTTCAGTCAACACTACGGTCATTGCTTTTTAAGTTTGGCCGGTAGTTGTTGACTTAGAAGTTCTACACCCCCGGACACATTAAAAAGAAAAAAAAAATTTTTAAATATAAATTTATTAGGTGTTACAAGCGAAATCGACATTTCATTCAAAGGGAAATAACTTGTTCTAGAATTTATGGATATGACTATGTTTAGTTTAACGACGCCGTATTGAAATAAAGTATTGCAAATATTCAATGTAAGCTATGTAATAGCTTCTAAAGGCGTTCACGAAGAGTCAATATAACCCGGTGTCCGTTAAGGAGGGAATTCAATTGTAACCCAATGTGTGAGATGTTTGCACACCGCGGTCGTTAAGTAAAGTAGGTCGAGATAATACCTTCGGATTTTTCAACCAGCGTCTAGTCTAGATGCGACAATAAACCGAGGCCCCGTGTGCTACAGTCGGTGCACGTTAAAGAACCCTCGACAGTTGGAAATCGAAAAAGAGGAGGCAGATGCCGCTGTCCTGGCAAAATTTCCCGATTGCACTCGGCATAGCGTTGCCCGTCTTCATTAGACCCCATGGTGCAGAAATGTAGGTCATAAAACTTAAATGAAATTCATTTAATTTCATTTGCTATCCTGAAGGTCAAGGATTTATCAACCCAGCTTCCTCCTGTCGGTGGTGCAGGTTGGAGGGGCTGACGGAATTGATAACCAAACTTACTGTGGCCATTACTTCTACAAATCGTGCACATTGACGATACTTATTCGAGGCATCGCCGACATTCAAGTAAGAAAGGTGATATTTGATCGTCTACTATCGAATATAACCTACAGTTAGGTGAGTGACGCTTATATAGTAAAGGGTACAACAGTGAATCACCCTCCAGAATATAACTCAAATAAAAGATTCCTGTTTGTTGTATTACTTACTTAATATTTAACAAATAAAACAGTCCTGTTTGCTGAATTATTTAGTTTAATATTTAAAAAATAAAACAGCCCTGTTTGTTGTATTACTTACTTAATATTTAACAAATAAAACAGTCCTGTTTGTTGTATTATTTAGTTTAATACTTAAAAAATAAAACAGCCCTGTTTGTTGTATTATTTAGTTTAATATTTAAAAAATAAAA